GGATTGTTCACACACACTTTACAAAAGTCCTTTGAAAATATCATTAGCACCATCGTCAGAAGGCAAGCTAAACATCATGTTTGGATCCACTGAATATAATTTAGTGACCACATGATTAATCATTTGTCTCTTCTTTTGTTCATCAGAAGCACTCTGAATATAATCAAAAACACTTGCAGTAACTTGTTTGAAATCTTCAAAGTTAGAAATCTTAATCTTTTGAGAAGGAGGTGGAGAGTCTACAGTGATAGCATTAATTGTAGCCTCTTCTTCTTCTTCCTTCTTTCTCTTTTGAGCAGGTTTCTTATTCTTGGATGGTTTTCTTGCCAAAACCTTAAATGGAGCTGATTCCATAATGAGAATTGGATTGTCCAAATCACTTTCAATAAAATAAGAGACTCGAAATGCAAATTTACAGTTACCATGATGGTAGCTACAATCTGTAAATTTGATTTTCATACTTGTCATACTATTATCTGAATTGGATCGTGATACGTTGGATTCAATCACTCCTCCCAATATAGGTTTACCATTCTTTAACACTTCAGTCTTATTATCTGGATGAATGATTTGAATACGACAAAATAATTGTAAATCATCAGATGCCTCACCATTGAACACGGTATTCAACTCCTTAATCTCATGTCTCATTTCATACTTGATCGAACTATACAATTCAGAATCAACAGTAGAGTCCAATCGAGGTCCAGAATCTCTGGTTTCTAAATAAATGTTCACTTGCGTTGAATCGAGAGCAAGTTGAGGATGGATATAGACTGTACTCCAATGACGAGATTCTTGTGAGTGTTCTTCTAAAATCTCTTCAAGATCATGATTCACTGCAGATGTGGTTGCAGAATGATCATTCTTCAATGATGATGCACCACCAATAGTAGTACTGCTGCTACTAGTAGTAGTAGTAGTTGTATTGGTAGCAGTCGTATTCGCAGTTGTATTCGCCATTGTGGTATTGTTGCTGACCAATGCATCAGAAGAAGCTTTGCTTCTCTTTTCAATAGTAGTCGTTTGATCATTCTTCTTATTGCTTTCCATGATGGATTGTGAACTCACCGAGCTCTGAGGAACCTTTTGAGAAGTAGCAGCAGCAGCACTCTTCATCATCAAGGATGATGTTAATTGTTGAGCGAGTGCAACACTATTCAACAAGGCTTGCTGTTGTTGTTGTTGTTGCTGTAATAATACAGCAGCAGCAGCAGTAGGATCCAAGAGTGAAAGATTTGAAGGTGTGGTCGTTGGAGATGATTGACTCATCAAGGCAGCCACTCGTTGTTGTTGTTGTCCCAATTGATACAATCGATAGAGGTAGGGATCAACCATCGCACCACTTGTTGAAAGAGGATGGAAAGGAGACAATACTTGTTGTTGATGAGACAATTCATCCAATAAGAGTTGAGTGGTGGAGAGACTGCTGAGAGGAGTGGAAGGCTGCTGCTCGACACGCGCCGATTGAGTCGTTGTGGACTGTGATGGTGATGATGGCTGATGATGAGCAGCAAAAAGAGAATGAAACAAATGATTAGCAGCATTGGTTGTACTCGTCGTTGATGAGGAAGAGGATGGCAACATGGTACTCGAGTGCTGGTGCACATTCGCATCAGCACTACTTTCATGAAGTAATACGGAAGATTGATGTTCAGCGTTGAGAATATTCAAGAGTTCAGGATATGAAATTGGAGCATTATTGGAGGATGATGAGGATATTGTGTTATTAGTATTATTGGTGGAGGAACTGGTTGGTTTCATTTTGGATTATTCAATGATGATGATCAAGTCAATCAGTGTTTGGTAAGGTGGTATTTTGTACCGAATATTGGTGAAGGAATTGGGGAGTTAACTGAAAAGACAAATAACAAGGAAAGGAGGAAACAACAACAACAGATGCTTGGGCGTGTTCGTTGCGTTGTTTACAGCAGCTGCTCTTTGTTTTTGCGTTAAAAATGGTTGGTGCACACAAACGGAGTCAAAATTTTCAAACGGCTTGCTATTGGTCCGTGAAACTCACACAGAATATAGTGGCTTATGAGATTTTGGAAGGCTAATACGTAATCGGAGAGGTTGAGAGAGAGAAAATGGGAGGAAAAGAGAAAGAGAGAATTGTTGTTGTTGGTTGTGAGTATAGTTGGGTTTGGATTGCTATGAAATCTCGAGAGAAAGGTTTCAAAGCAAATTGTTTTTCAAATCAATTCGTGAAATATCGACTCTATTTAAAGATGATGAAAAAAGTTGAAGTTATTTTTGGATTTTGAATCTTCATGAACCAGCTGCCGCCAAAATTCATGTTGATTGGAACATGTGATTTACAACAATTTATTAAATCAATCCATGTTTGACCGATTGGAATTCAAATGTTTACAATAACAATAACAATGAATTGAATTCATCATGATGTACAGTTTGTACAATTGGTCAACAATAGTTCGAAAATTACACTCCTCGAACACCAAAAGAATCAATGAGGAAGGATCGACTTGAGGTCGGAGAGAAGGGCGAATAAATGACATGAATTTGTCTCGAATAATCGTTCACACTTTCATATTTGGGTTCTTGTGTTTCGTAATCTCTCAGATACACAATAGAAGTATCATTACCTTTGATTTTCTTTTCTCTTCTCAATCTTGAATGAGATGCAATAACAACATCCTTTCTATTCAACTTGGTAAGAAATAATCGAATGTCAATAAGAGAAGACCAATGTAATCCGAGTGTGGGTTTGACTTTCTCACTTGGTGTGAGTTTAAAATAGGATCGAACACTTGAAATATCACCAACTTCTTGGAGTGGCAGCACTATATAGTGTTGTCCACTTGTTCAAAATCATCACAGAATGCACCAGTTGTTGTATTTTTGGAATATATATAAGATTCTAAGGCTTCTTCACAATTCAATGTATCATTTCGATGACTTTGATGATACTTTCTCACCAATTCATTATTCATTTCATCTTCAAATATTGCTGATACTTGATTAAGAATTAAAAAGATTACCTTATATTTGGTAGCAAGATATTTCATGTGTTGAATTTGAAATTGTAAAATTTCTGATCGATCCATTGCTAATGTTCTACTCGCATGTGAATCTCTAAATAACATTCCAATAGAATCTAATATTACAAGTCTAATATTTCTCTTTTCAATAACATTTTCGAGAGGTGACATGCTACTCATTGTAGATGGTTTGAGTAAATCATTGAATTCATTCGTATTGGAAATGTTACGTTGAATAAAATTATTAAGGAAATCATCTTCAGAAATGTCATTTTGCTCATTCGATTCTTCAGACGAGTCCATACTAGATCTAGTAGGATGAGTATTGAGAGTATGATAGTATTCATTTAATTGTCTGGTTTTAGCTTGAATCATTTCATTCAATCGATCCATAGGATAACTCTCAGAATGTAAATACAATACTCGAGAATTTAAACCTCCAAATTTACGATTCAATATACATTGTAAACTTAAATGAAGAGCTAGTTGTGTTTTACCACTTCCAGCAACTCCACTCAATTCAATTATGAATCCACCACTCGTTTGTTTGATTGGAATACCATAGATACCATCTCTCTTAGAAATAGATGTTTCAAATAATTCATCAAGTATTGGATCACCTAATGAGAGAAATTCATTATTGAAAGGTAAATGATTGATAGTAGAATTAGTGGTTGATACATGATGATTTGTGTTATTGGTTGATACATGATGATTCTTAAGAGTACTACTGATAGTCAGGGTGGTTGAGCCTCGATTCTCATCAGTATTAAGAGTACTAGTAGTTGTCAGGGTGGTAGTGGTAGAGCATTTACACCAACAGCATTTACACCAAGAGCATTTTCACCAAGAGCATTTTCACCAGCATTATCACCAACAACAGCACCACTACTGGTATTGGTTATAGTGAACAACAACAACAACAACTGGACATGACTGTTTCAGATAATTTCATAATATCTGTCAGTCTCATTGGTGCTCTCAACAATACTTGTTGTGTAATGTCATGACAAATCACATCCACATGATTCATTCTATATCCTCTATGAAGTACTTTAAATGTACTTAAATGTGCAAGTATTTCTCTTTTGAAATTATCCCTTTCCGATAAATATCGTGTAAGAAAGGTAAATAAAAATAATATTTTCATCGATCGGAATACATTTGATAATTGTGATTTAGTAGGAAATGGAAAGTCATAGGTTTCATCATTTTCTATTAATTGAAGAGGTGATGGAGGATAATCATTACTATATAAAACATCTAAAATATTTTCAATAGACTTGTTGTGAATATCGGAGGAGAAACCATCTTGATATTCGTACAAGGATGAAACTGTGGTGGTGGTATCATTTCTTTCGGGAGAGGAAGGATGATGTATCGGAGATGATCTTTCATTGTGATATTGTTGCTGTTCTGTTGTGGATTCAATCACTGAGTTACTATGATCACCCTCATCATGATGATCTTGTAATAATTCTTGATATAATTCATCATCAATGATGAGATCCGTGTCATGATCCTCCACATTACTACTATTGTGTTCTTCTTGCTTGTTAATTGCTTCTGTTATTATTGGGTTTGATGGTACAGTGTTGGTTGGAGATTCTGGCACCTCATCCATATCTTGCCAAGAAGGTTCAGAAGGGACTTGAGACATTTTTTTTTTAATTTGAAGGACAACCAATTCCAATGAACGTTGGAACCAAGTACTTTCCCGCCAAAGTACAACGTTTTTAACTGTTGGCTTTAAAAAATGTTCTCTTTCAAACCAACTTCAGCTTCTTCAGGTCATCAACAACAGCCTCATACACTACAACAAGATTTATTGTTCGGAACTGGCAGTCAAAATAATGCGGTAGTTGGTCCGACAATGAATCATAATTCCATGATGATGGTGCCTTCCAAGGAACCGACACGAGAGCCACAACGAAATCACTTTCCATCATCATCCTCAGCACAACATTCCGATTATTTGAACATGTTTCAAGACGATGAAGAAGAATTATTATTTGATTCAACAACAGCGAATTTCAATAGTGCTCAATCATCCTTCATTTCCAATTTGCAATCATCATCCTCTCAACAAGGCTTGTTTGGTAAACAAGTTGGCAATCACTCTTCATCATTTACAAAAAACTCTTCTTTACTCAATACTTCCAACAGATTGTCATTCTCTAACAATATTCCATCAAAATCTCCTTCTTTGAACCCATCTTTGAACCCATCTCTGAATCAATCCTTTTCAAATCAATTCAAACAAGTACCAACGACACTCTTTGCTTCTTCCAAAGAACAATTACCTCAATGTATTGATTATGTCAATAACAAGTTAAATAATACAATGGCATTATTACCATTAATGTCCTATTATAGTGATTTAAACGCGATAGGAAACTTTAAATTAGATTTCAATAATCCTGATAATGATATTTTTGTTACCAATGTCATTTATTATCTTTTAAAAGAAAGAGAAGAAGAGGCTATCACTAAAGTGACTCTACAAGATAAGATTCGAAGATTGCAATGTGATCAAAATGCCATTTCTTTAAATAATAACAAATTAGAACAAAAAGCAAGTGAATCTCAAAAACTCTATGTCATGGAACAACAAAAGTATTTGAATTTACAAAAAGAAACAAGATTGAAATTGAAAAAGTTAGAATCAGCCAAGACAGTCTTGGAGACTCAAAACAAAAACATTCAACAAAAATGTGATCAATATGAACATAATTTGATTAAAATGGAAAAAGAAATGGATAAATTGAAACAACAAATGACACACAAATTGAACATGTTGTTAAATGCAGGAAATCAATCCAATAAGGTTGATGTTCTCAATCAATCTACTCATCCAGCAATTTCATCTTGTGCTCTACCCAATCGATCCTTTAGCACTAGTAGTAGTATGTGGAAACATGGATTGGAGAGAAATGAAGATATTCTCTATCAGAATGTTGTTGAAGCATTTAAAGATGAAAAACAAGAAATTTTAACTGAGAATCAACAATTGAAACGATCACTTCGACAATTGAATACTGAATTGAATCATTTGAGACAACGATATTCTATGATGTATCCTCCTCATCAGAATCACGATACCATAAGAGATGGACAATTTGAATTACCTTATCATTTGGCACAAGAAGAAATTGAAACAGCCATTCGAGAAAAGATTCAAGATTTGAATCGTATTTTAGAACGAGCCACAAGCCTCATGTCTGAAAGTCATCATGGTCATCATCAACACATTGAAATGGAACAAGACGTTGTAGATTTGAATGACAACAAGGTAGCAATGAAATCTTCTCTTGAAACTCTTAAACGGAATTTGAAACCATACAAACAACAATGATCAAGGATCATGAGTCGTCGGTTATTCTGATGGATCAACAACTACTCTCACGACCCTCATCAATGACAGCAGCAGCAACAGCAGCAGATTCAGACACTAAACATTTCCATAGTGAAGTGGCATTGCACAGCAGCAGCAGTGGTGGTATCACGAGTCCCAATTTGGAACTTTTAGAGGCACACGAATTACTGCCTTTGAACAGTGGTGAAGATGACGATTCGACCATGTCAACCTTTCAAGTGTATTAACTTTATTTTTTACTCACAATCCCTTCATATTGATTATCATAATAGTATATTTCAGGAGGTTGATGCTCAGGTACAGGGCTCGATACCTTAATTTTGATTCCCTTAAATAGATAAAATAAAAATCCAATAATTGAAATGACCACAAAGGTAAAGTATTTTCTCTTGTTGGGTGCCATATCATGTTTCAAAACAAGTGAAGATGACTCTGATGATGTAGCCTTATGAATGAATCGATTGGGTGAGGAAGCAATTTGAAATGCCATACTAGGTGAAGAGGAGGAGGAGGAGGAAAAAGGAATCGAGTCGTTCCTTTCATCAAGCGTCGTCGTGCTTACATCCAATTTCTGAAAATGTATATTATATTCGATCATTGTGTAATCTTCTTGAATTTGATTCATCCATCTCTGAATATTAGGATATCGATTAAAAATACTTGTAATGAGCATGGCACCTTGTAATTGAGAATTTTGAGAATGATTTTCAACATTCATATAAATTGCTGGATAATATAATGAACTCAAATATCCAAATGCAATCGCGTCCAAAGTAGAGGGTGAATCTCCATAAAAGAATCGATTGGTACTTCCTAATAACACACTCAAGGAATCCAAACATTCCAAAAACAATTTAATACTTGCATTCTGTTCCATGGATACTTTGGAAAGTAAATATTTTGATAAGAATGATTCTTGTTCTTCATCAATTTTTTTCAAATTTGTTAAACTTTTCAATAATTGACAATGACGTGATCTTTCTGACCACATATATGCCCATCTCACTACTCTACTCATACTATTAAAATATAAATCTTTTGTAAAAGTTTGATAAATATCGTCTCTAAACCAATAGGAATATAAATAAAAGGGTAAACATTTTTCATGAACAATATGACTATAGGCTTCAATTTCAGTTTGAATTTGTTGGAGAGTCGTTGTAGCATGTTCATTTAGAGTTAAATTTGAATCTAAATTCTCTCCTTTACTTTTCAGGTAATTTAGAATTTCTTTCATTCCATAAATCACAACATGATGTTCATGATAGTCATGTACGAGAATTGGAAAATGAATATCATTGGATGAGGTATGATTCGAATAGAGGGATGAGAGAATATGAGAAGGATGACTTGTCTTGACTTGAAATTTAATATTTGAAAATACGAGATAGGAGTAAATAATATTGGAATAAATATCAATGTTCAAAGGATGAAGAATTGAATGTTGATGATGATGATTCATGTTTTCTTGTTGCAACATGAAATGGGATTGTTTGATGACAATGGAAGGATCATACGAAACATAGAGAGTAATGGAATTGGAAGTGGTGCAAGCCGTTTCGGAAGGAGGGAGGGTTGCTGTTGTGGTGGTTCCACTGGAGTGGTGCAGATCTGAGGAGGATTGATGATAGAACATTTTTTTACGAGAGCAGAAAGCAGCAACAAATTGATTGCTTCAACTGCATGTTGTAAGAACTATATGTTAAAATTATCTGTACTATTAATTAAATGTCTGCCCGTCTAGCTCAGTCGGTAGAGCGCAAGACTCTTAATCTTGTGGTCGTGGGTTCGAGCCCCACGGTGGGCGATCACAATTTTTTATTTGGGAAAGACTAAAAGGGTGTTGTTTGGCAATAGGCTCTCTGAAAGCAAAGAGAAGCCCAACCATGCAAATTTTATTTTGAATCACAAAAAATTTTTATAAAAAAAAATGTCATCACAGCAAACAAATTGCACTCCCATCCATGACACTTCAATTCTTGGTAAACGAAAAACCATCTCGGATAGCCCCAATCTTACCGAAGAAGAGTCATCAACCACTCATTCCACTTCCTTCGATTCATCACAAAAGAAAGTAAAATCTTCATCATCACGTACTCCAAATTACGATGAAATTATTCCAGAAAATGAAATGTTCTACAAATACTATTTCGAAATTCAACAAATTGTCAAAACCAAAGAAGAAATGGATCAAATGATTCGTTCCTTTCAACAACCTCTACCTCTTACTTTCCGAATTAACAAATCACTTCCTATCGAGTTAATTCAAAAAATTCAATCTCAATTATTGGAATTTAAAAATCAATTAAATAATTACAAATATGATGAAGAGACTGAGAAAGTGAGACCCATGACTGATACTGAATCTAAAGGAGTTCAAATAGATATCATTCATTTGAATCATATTAATGATTTATTTTATCAATTATGTCCTAATATTTCAAAGAGAAAATTGAGAAGACAAAATACTGTGGTGAGTGGTAGTTCTCATACAAGTGTGAATATTGAAAGTGGTGTGAATATTGAAAGTGAAAGTAGTGTGAATACTCTCAATGAAAGTGTAGCGAGTGGTAGTTCTCATATGAATACTCTCATGAGTGCCGAGAATATCATCCATGGAAATGACAACAACAACACTCAAGTCGACGAAACCTTGGAAGATATCATGATGGAGGATGACATGATCGATAGTAGTAATAGTAGCACACCACTTGAAGAAAGTGAAGGATCTACGTTATTATCTAAATTTAGAAATTATCTCGTTCAATTAACCAATATTGGATATCTCAGTCGACAAGAATTGGTGAGCATGATTCCTCCATTATGTTTCACTCCTCCTGAATTCAATGCAACACCATGTGGTGTTGTGGATGGCTACATGGATATGTGTTCAGCACCTGGCAGTAAATCTGCTCAAATGGTCGAATATTACTTGAATGGAAAGGACAAGTTCCTAATTTGTAATGATATTGACCGTAAAAGGCTAACCACATTGTATTCCAATTTGAATCGAGAACCTCAACAATTACTTTCGAATGTGGTTGTGACTCATCACAATGCAGTGACTCTTCATCAAGTATTGGCAAGTTCTACCACTCAGGGAAATGTACTCTCTCATGTTCATCATGTCTTGTGTGATGCTGTATGTTCAGGAGATGGAACTTTACGAAAATCACGTGATTTATGGGAGAGATGGAATTATGAACATGGACATGTGAATCACATGACTCAAGTCTCTATTCTTGTGAGTGCCATGAATATTATTCAAACAAGTTTTAATCAACAACAACAACAAGAAGAACAAGGTAATTCTAATAGCACTACTACTATTAGTACTACTACTAGTCATAGCACCACTAGTAATAATAGTACTGGTACTACTACTACTACTCGTAATAATAATAGCACCACCACTACTACTACTAGTAATGGTAATAACACTTCCTACTATCATGGAGAATATGAAATTGTCTATTCCACATGTTCTCTCAATCCCATTGAAGATGAAGCTGTGGTTGCAGAGGCTATTCGAAGAACTAATTATAGATTTGAATTAGTGAATCTTGAAGAAACATTGAATCAACAATCAAATTCAATTTCCCATCTCAAAGGAGTGAATGATTGGAAAGTAGTCGATCGCAATGGTGAAATTGTTCATTCATTTGAAGAATGTGAATTAGATTCAAAAGATTTCATTCCTCGTTCTGGATCTAAATCTGAAAATAGACCTAAAAAAGAATCATGTTCTAGAATTACAGCTAGCATGTTCCCTAAAGAAGATGTCCAATCGATGAATTTACATTATACCATGAGATTTCTACCTCATTTGAATAATAGTGGTGGTTTCTTTGTTGCTAAATTAAGATTGAAAAAAGAACATCTCCTTCAAGGTATGTTTCATGTGTGCGTGTGTGTGTGTGAAAATGTATACGTGTGTGTGAAAAATACATGTTTCATGTGTGTGTGTCAATTGTATTTGAAAATTATATACATGTTTCATTCATGTGTGTTTCATGTGTCAACATCTCCATTCGCAAGATGAAGAAATGAAAACACGAAGACAACGAAAATTAGAAAAAAAATTAGAAAAAAAGAAACATTCACAGAAAAAACAAACTCCAAATAAGAAGAATGTGATTTATGCAAAGGCATTAGAGGAACATGTTCAACCATTATTAGATTTTTATCAAATCGATTTAAAGAAATTGTACAAGCAAGAAGAAGTTGAGCCATTCGTGTCGTCATCTTTAGCCAATCATTTTCTCGTTCAAACCACTTCTGAAAGTAAATATGCTCAAGCCATATTGAAACTTGCCAAAACTGGTACAACCAATGTTGTTGTTACTAGTGGTAGTGGTGGTAATTCTAGTAGTAGTGGTAATTCTAGTAGTGGTAATTCTAGTAGTAATAATAGTGGTAGTGGTGATTCTAGTAGTAGTGGTAGTGGTAATTCTAGTAGTAATAATAGTGGTAGTGGTGATGGTAATTCTAGTAGTAATAATTGTAATAGCAATAATAGTACACTGACCAATTGCATCTACCAAAGAAATTTACATTCATGAGTAATTCCTATCTCAGTGAATATATGAGAAATAACTTCTCTCCTGAAGAAGCATTGACTATGAAAATATTCCATAGTGGAATTGTTGCATTTGAAGATTCAAAAGATTCCAAGGTATTTCAAATTACTTTGGGTGGAGCATTATCCTTCATTGATTGTATGGATCCAAATTCAACACAATTAATGGAAATTACTAAAATGCAAATGAAACATTTCTTGACAGATGGAAAGTTACCACTTGGTGATTCACAATTCATTCAAAATCAAGAACTTGAAAAGAAACAATTAGAAAAATTGAAGGAAATGAAAATGGGTGGATGTGTATTGAAATGCGTTTTGGAATCACAGAATTATGTACTTGCAGTTGGATTGAAATACAATGCCAATACCATTTTCAATCGAGTTGGAAAGGAAGATTCAGCAAGTTTACTCATCAAATTGGAACATGATTTTTATTATTAATCGTTGTGAGACGTTGTTTGTGAAAAGAAGAATGATTACTGTGCCATGCTCTCACTGTTGAAGCCAATCCAATTCACCTTTCCTTTTTAAAAAATATTAAACAATGATTATTGTTGCTTCTGATTGATACTAGTTGGTATGAAAATGAAATTTATTATTCAAAAGTAAAGAGAAGAATTTCTCTCACATTACTGACACCATCTCGAATGTCTTTGAGAGTCTCAATTTGGACATGAGGATCTTTCTGTTTCACAAAATTGATGAATTGTTGAGTACTACCTCCACAACCAAAATAATAAGATTTGGCTCCAACAAGTCTTTGGATCATTCACAGTAAGTTATGAATTGAACCCATTGAATCCATACATGAATTGAATCCATACATGAATTAACATGGCAACAACACACACATGTAAATATTGACCATATAGATTCATATGATACTTACAATTTTCCACCTGGTCTTATTGCTGATCGAATGACTCGATATAACTTGTCATACGAATCAACAGAATATATGGTATCACTCATCATGATCAAATCATAATCTTTTTGGATGATGGAATGTTCACTCATTTTACTCCAATCACCTGAAAAGAATTGACACTTGTCCAATGTGGTTGAAATGATTTCATGTTGTGAAATGTTTAAGAGTAAGTTGGGAATAGTCAATAATTGAATCACTTCCTTATTCTACACACATGTGTGTGCAATGAATATTCAAGATTAGATATTTAATACATCCCAATCACAACCATACATTTCAACAAAAAAATTCACACACTCAAAATCACACACACACTTACATAATCTTGAAATGCACACTTCTTTGCACCTCCCTGTAATAAACAATAAATAGAAGGTAATGCATGACCACATCCCAATTCTAATACATTTCTATTCTTTACATTGTCATTGACAAATTTTGAATCATTCATTAAAAATTCAACTAAATCTTCTGAACATTCCCATAATTTAAATCCACCTTCATATTTGTTTTTTACAATATCTGAATTTGTAGTTTGAGAAATATGTTGTTCATGTTGTAATTTGGTGGTAATGTTTATATATTTCATGAGACCTCTCCATTCAATTGAAAATTGTTTTAAATAATTAATATCTTCTAATTTTGGAATGTTCACAATTTCAAAGGGAAGAGTATCTTCGGATGAAAGAGAAGAATTATTCATCGAAGAATGAAACGTAGTGGTGATGATCGATGGATGAAATGAAACATTTGTGGATTCGGTATGATCAGCATCATCACTCATCTCATCATCATCATCAACAGAAAAGTTGAATCGGAAAATGGCTGAATCTGACATTTTTTTTTTTTATTTATTTTATTGAAATTGATTTTCGTTAACAAATCTGCAGCAACCTCCCGCCTTTTCAATCTCTAAAAAAAACTGTAGACTTTTTCCAACTGCTATCAACTATACTTCTTCAAACACTGATTTTAAATTATCTATCTGTAGGGATCATCATTGTAAATCATCATGTGGGAAGTCATTCGTAACAAGTATGAGGGATACGGAGATGGAAGAATAGAGAATGCCGAGAGAAACTTTCATGCTAATAGCAAACATATTGCCAAATTCAGTTGTAAACCAAATCCGAAAGAACAAGATCCCAATAGTTGTACACCAGCCATTGGATCGTTACTATATACCAAGTTATGCCAGTTGACCACTTCGGATAATGAAATTCTTGTCACGAAGAGTATGAAATCACTCCAAGAGTTGTACAAGGCTTCCTCAAAGAATATTGCTGCTAGTATTCTCTACACGGACAATCAAATCATTCCAAATTTAGTAGATTTAACCAAGAAGGATTACTCGAAAGAAGAAGCGTTAAAAACTCTTTGTTGTGCTTTTAAATGCAAACATGGAAGAGATTCCATGTTACCTCATGTACAGTCCGTTCTGAATGATATTTTGAGAAATTTTGAAATTGAAAAACCAGAACATGTGTATCTGACTCTGAAATGGCTCAAAGGATTAGCTTTGGAAAAGGAAGCATGTCATCAAATGACTGATAGTGAGGATCTTCCAGGACTTGTCATGCAATGTTTGGATTACTATCAAAGTAAGGACATGAATCCAAAAGTAATGAAGAATGGCCTCAAATTATTGAACCAGTTGCTTAAAGTTCCAAAAACTCATGTTCTTCTTGTGGCAGAAGATTGCATTTTCCTATTGATTGAAAAGATATTTGAACGGTATTTGAATGGTAATTACGATGAAAAGGTTTTGATTGCTCTCATGGAACACATTTCTCTATTGAGTTTCTATACCGATGGATTAACAAAATGTGTTCGATTTATCCAACAAATTATGACATTGATGGAAACTAGAAATTTGTCTCTCCTATTGCAATGTATTTGTGCCCTGTCTCATATTACGATCAGTGTTGAGGCTAAATATCAAATAATGGAAGAAGCAAGTTCAATCAAGAGTGAATTCATCAGAAAGATTACCCAAATATTTGATAATTATTTAGTCACCTATGACAATCATTACATTTTCATTAATACTTTGAAAGTCATTTGTAACATTGCAGAAAAGGATAGAAAAGCTTTGCGAGATCTGGTTTCCAAAATTGATTCTCGCTTACAACAATTAAACAATCCCACAGTGGTTGATGAGCTTGAACATACGCGAGAAGTACTTTCATGGTCACCATAAACGTTGCAAATTCAATGTACAATATAATCATGGTACAATGTGTATATCAATCATAGTTCATCAATGACTCTAGCATCGTGTAAATCATTTATAAGTCCATTGATCATATGATCATAGCTTGGTATCAATCCATTGAATCGCCGAGTCATGTCTAACAAAGAAATACTCAACTATTGGCTGAGTTCATTCATTTCCAAGATCTTCAATCGAAGCATGGTGGATAATGATCCAATTCGTGATCGATACAATTCAACCACATACGCTCCACACACTTCCAATAAATGACCAATTTCATACCCCAACACTCGAATGTATGTTCCAGTGCTACAAGTACATGAAAATGATAATTGACCCTTCTCTCGATCCATTCCAATACATTCCAATCGATCAATTCGAATACGTCTTTTAGGAATATCATCTTCTTCACTGTACATTCCTTTGTAGTAGTACAAGTCATGATCAAGGCTCATGGAAGAATCAAATACACGTGTATTCACACTACTACTAGTATTGGTGAAGGATTGCGGTATACTACTACTACTACTAGTAGTATTCGTACTGTGTGTATACACTTGTGGTTGCAAATCATGACCTTGTGGTTCTTGATTGGTGAGAATACTTGAACCATTCATGGAATCATCATTCATCATCCTCTTCATTCTTTCTAATGTTTGATGTCCATACGTTGCAATCTTTTCCCTCCCTTTTTTACAGCACTAAAAACAGGAGTGGTTTGAATTAAATGATTATTTCTCTCGTTCAAATACTTTTGAATCTTTTCATTCACTTGTTCAATACTTTGACAATTCTTATCAAAGAAATATTTATAATTTGAACAATGATTAGCAAATTGGATCGTATCAGAGTCATAGGATGGAGTACAAGAACCACATTGAATGACAAATTCATAATCCTTGCAATTAGAATCTGGAATATAATTTAATGCTTTTGTTCCTTGTCCATTCACTCCTAAAATTAATAATCCATCTTGAATTTAACAATAAAAAGAATTGAAATGAGTTCATTTTACAATGATTTTATATTGTGTGTGTGGGAAATGTTTGATATCATAAAAATTCAACCATATCAACGTGACAATAATAATAATGATAATAATAATATTAATAAT